AGCCCATACACGACATAGGTTTGCATTTGAAAAAAAAAAGTTGGGGAGGGTTGCAGCTAAGGGGTTGAAAAAAAAATTTCATTTTATTGCCAAAAAATGCGTACAACGTGAAATCAACTGACGTGTTTCAGCGTGTTTTTCCTAAAATACTGGTTAAAAAGATATTAATTTTATTCCGGACTTTTGCGTACCCCTGTATAACCGTATAAAAGTAAATGCTAAAACAAGGTATATATAAAATATTCGTATATCTATAATTTCGAAAGAGGAATGAAAAATTGAGTATATAACACAAACAGTTACAAATCATGCAATGTAGCAGTACTGACACAAATTCTAGTGTAAGGATAACTCTCCTATTTTCCAAAGATGTTATATCAAATTGTGTCAACAAAATGTTATGATCGATGCCTCTCGTGAGGTATTTTTCATCAACTTTTAGACATAAGTATTTTAGGAACTTCATCTGCACGATCTCAATTGATATTTTTTGGTAGTCGTAAACTGGATTCCATAACACAGAGCCATACTCTAACTTAGATCTGGCATACGCAAAATATAGCAATTTTAAGGTGGCAATACTTTTGAAGTTTTTGCCATTTCTGTAAATGAATCCAAGCATCCTATTTGCGTCAGCAGTCATATTCCTTACATGTGTTGTAAATGATAATTTACCGTCGTATGTGATACCAAGATCTTTTATCTCGTGTACGCGGTTGATTGTAGTGTTGTTGATTGAATAATCGTACATTGAAGTTCGCTTTTATGTTGTAAATGATATTATTTTACATTTGGATATGTAATGTCGTCGATTTTATAATATACTTTCAGGTCGTCTGCAAATAATAGGCTAGGAATATTCAAAGAGGTTGCCAAATCATTAATACAAATTAAAAATAAAAGAGGTCCAAGATTGGAACCTTGTGGTACCCCAGAAGTAACTACGTACTGAGCCGATTTTAAAGATTCAGATTCGACGAATTGTTTTCTGTTAACTCGATATGATAAAAAATAGAGTAAGCAGTTGGTTAGAGAGTCCCAATTTTGTCAATTTGCTGAGAAGAACATAATGGTCTATTTGAATCGTCAGAGATTAAATCCATTTGGAAAAACGTTCTCAGAAAGTTTATTCCACATAAACGCAGTTCTACAAATGAAAGAGTTAGTTTTTGAACAGTGAAGTTCGAGGTGTACCTACTGAGTTGAACTTTTAATTTAATAACCCCAAGTGGTTGCATTTTTAAACGGAAGTACATTTTCAATTGCCCGTATGATTCAGTGGGGCATATCCTGCAGCTGTGCATAACAGACGTTTTGGTCACCAAAAAAATGGCCGCCAACTTCATACTTTATCATTTCTCTTGAAACACGTTTGAAAAATTTAAAAAAAGCTTCAATTGTAATGTAAATTTAATTGATGCATCTCTACTTTTTCAAACGAAAACTCCATCACACCTAACCTGATTGCCTCTATTGTTCAATTGATCTTGTGCTACGAGTCGTTCTGATTACTTTCAATTTAGACTGACGAATGACCTTTCACCGAATGCATCTACAAACACATCGAAGAAATTGTTAACAATAACAACCGTTAACATTATAATTGTATGCAAACGACTGTATACACCAAAACAAATAGTGAATTGTTGCTTTGAGGCGCTATTATCAGAAAAGTATGTACAAAACGAGGTACAAACATATTATCTTAGTTACAAACGTTGTCGAATATACAGTGCATTTATTTTATTTTTTGAACAGCTCAACTCAAAAAATTCAATGTGATACATCTTTTTGAAGCTCCTGACAAATGCTTCAGAACCCTACAATATAATGTCAATATCTTCAACTACTACAAAATGGCGGAACATTTATGCTATCTGACGCGCTCGAGTATGTCCATGCAACAGTATTTTTTACATATTTAAAAATCTATAGCCGCTTCCCCCACCGAAGAAAAGGTATACCGGGTGTCCCACATTTTATGTGACAGGCAATATCTGGTTTGTTGAAGGAGATACACAAAAATGGGTGTACCTACTGAGTTAGGAGTTCATGAGA